TTAGACTATAGCTCATATGATCTAACACGCTATACACGTGAAAAGCAGGAGGATGAGTTGGCCGATGCCCTGGCCTTCCTTGCCGAGACCGCCGAGACGGAGGAGGGCCAAGGGGTGGGATTGTCGGAAAATGGAAATTGAATTGAGGTTGCGTTGGGGAGACAGCACAGCGCTATGTCTGAAAGGTGCACGTGTTTCGCCTGAGCTCCGCGGTAAGGAAGGTTCATCCGCGTTGTGCCACACATTCACGCCTCCTAATCGTTTACCTGCTTGCAACAACCGAGGCAGCGAAGCATTCTTCTTGACCTGCTGTTCAGGAGGTGGCCGAAATAGGTGGAGCTTTGGATTTCTTGGCCGAGAAGCTGCCAGGACAGGATCTCTAAACATGATTGGTTCTACAGGGGGCCCACATTCCCAATAACCGATCTGCGGAAAACCAATGGCCTGGTAGCCGGCTGGAGCCGGTGCACCCTTGACTCGGTCATTATAAATTGGGGTTCTATTGGGTACTATGTTATGTGGGGGTTATATTGGGATANNAAAAGAAAAGGGAAACTACTATATCATATAGGGGTTAATTATAGTATGCTTCTGTGGTCCTACGAGTTTTGTTGCTTGCCATTCTGGCCGAGGTTTTTTCAGCTCCTTGCGAATGCAAGCCTACACAACCAGCCCCTTGAAGCCAGCTTGGAAAGCTCACAGAGGGGTGCCGTGCAACTTCCCCTGTCAGATGCTGGTGACATGGAGCTTGAAGATGAGGAGGACGACGTGTACGATCCACTGGCTGCACCTCGGCTGATTTTCAGATCATGGTTATATTGGGGTTGCAAGGTATATATTGGGGTTATATTGGGATAATGGAAAAGAAAATGGAAACTATTGGGATTATATTGGGGTCTACTGCAGGCTCTCTTGCTGCATGCAGCTTAAGATCCAGGATGATCCGGGTATGTGCAGAGACATTCCAGCAAAAACCCTTCCTCAGCGGCCTGGGTTGGACCTCTTTCACCATACTTTTATTGTGAGGTGGGCTGAGGGCATCAAGGCGGTCCATGCCATGTCATACTCCGACACAGAGCCCAGAACTTCTGCAGGCCATGGGGGGAGTCGAGTCATGGTTGGAATCTACATAGCTTCACGTGCTGCCGCTCTCATGCTAGGTTAATGGTGATGGTACTGGCGTGAAACCCCTTCCTGCGCTTAAGGTGCTTCCAGAGGTCTTCGACGCCGATGAGACCGCAGCCGACAAGGATGTGTTTTGCCTAGCAAGCGACACGAAATCTAGGAGTAGGTTTCGTTCGTCACAAAAATCAAGCACAGATTAGTCTTCCTGACCATGCCTTCAATTTTGAGAAGGTCTTGCTGCCAGACCGCTTGTTGCAGTACCCGCGGCGAATGTTTCAGCAGTGGGGTCTGGATAGTACCGCGCGTCCCATGTTGTCAGCGTATGCTAGCTCAAGCCGTGCTAGGATACCCTGAACCATGCCCAGAAGACCATGTCTTGCAGACCAATTCCCTCAAGTAGGCTTTCGTCTGGAACGGTACGTAGTGCTGTATTCATTGAATGTTAACTCTCTGAACCCATCGAAATCGAGGCGCTGGCAGCTGCCGCACAGCTTTTGGATGTGGACCCGCAGGCCTGCTGGCAGGACTTCTTGCTGAAGTGAAGACAAAGGAGGCTTCATGAAAAATGAGGGTGTCCATGCAATCGGGTGCGCATTGGGGTACTGTAGTAGCATCTTTTGTTTGAGGTTAATTGGGAGTTGGATTTCTACGTCAACAGGGGGCTTTTTGAAGCAGCTGGCCAAGGATAAACTTGGCGCCTGCTCCACAACAAGTTGCCAGATTGGTGGTTCTGAATGTGGGATATACTGCATGAGGCCTTCCGAGCATGTATCAGCATTCACGAACCAAGATCTTCCATTGTAAGCCCAAGAGGAACAAGTAAGTATCAGCCCTGGTTTCTTGAGCGCCTCAACCCAAACCCCTTTCCGGCCCAGATCCTCGCCGAAGAGCAACGTCTGCTCCAGGACTCAGGGCTGTTTGTTCAGGATGTTGGGGGGGACTCTTCTTATTGGTCTTATCATGTTACATTCTTATATAATTCTTATTATGTTATAACTAGTACTAGTATACTATCATCATGAGAAGATTATTGCTTCCTAGATTGATGTTGGACCAGGCCATGTTGCTCTTGCTTGCTGGATATCGAAAACGATCTCGGCTTCGGCTCCGAGATCTGGCTGCTGCAGTAGACCCCAATATAATCCCAACAGTTTCCATTTTCTTTTCCATTATCCCAATATAACCCCAATATATACCTTGTAACCCCAATATAACCATGTAAGACTACTAGGCAATCTCCTAACTTTTACTTGGCACTCTGAAATCGAATTCATCTCATCGTTCTTGAGCTAGTATGCAAGCCATGCATCACTGTAAAACATAGTTATCGGAGCAAAGATGCTCGCCCCACTGTTTTTAGCATCCGTTCATCAGCTGTGCGGGTTTTGATGGTTTTCTTCTTCTTCCCAGCCGGAGTTGACCTGAATCCTCCCCCACCCCCCCCCACCCTCACACCTGTCGAGGTGGACACACCGATTGGGGTTAGAGGATGTATATTGGGGTTATCGGGTATATATTGGGTTATAGGACATATATATATATATATTGGCGTTATCTTGGGGTTATATTGGGATGATGGAAAAGAAAATGGAAACTATTGAGATTCGATTGAAGGCATTCACGAGGACGTTGCCAACATTCTCCCGACATCCAAAGGCAAAACTGACGGTGTAGCGCTTGACAGATGACACTTTACCGTCTTGAACATTCCCATAAGCACGGTTTTGCCGAAGATCCACCCTGAACCTATAGCTATGATCCATACCACAATCCATAGAATACATTTGAGGTATTTCTACTGGGTTGTTGTTAAGGAATTTAGATTAATTGGTATATGGGGAGTAACAGGCTTTCCTTATTACAGTAGCCGAATTTAACGTCCTTAACAGCAGCCCAGTCAAGGGTTTCAGACTTCCATATCCTAGAGGCAGCAGGTATATTCGTAACAGTAGCAACAACAATAGTAGTAATATTGCAATTGGAGTTCGGGCACGCCTGCAGGAGCAGATTCAGCTGCTCGAGGAGATTCAAGCCACAGAAGCTGAGCCTTGGCGGCAGCTTTCCGTTGGAGGCGATTAAATTGGGTTTAGGGTTTAAGGTTTAAGGTTTAAGGTCTAGTGTTTAGGGTTTAAGGTTTAGGGTTTAAGGTTTAGGGTTTAGGGTTTAAGGTTTAGGGTAGGTACAGACAGTACAGACTGAAGTTTTTACAGGGATGGGCAATCCAAAAGTAGTTTGTTCCTTCAGGTTTCCCTGCTTAGCGCCCCCAGGCTCCTTGGAACGAATTTTGTTCAGCGGGCCCATACTTGCAGAAGTCTCCTCGATCTTATCCCCAATTCTTCAGTTTGTTGGAGTCTGCAGTGTGTAGAACTCCTTTCCCGACTGTCTCTTATACGCTGACTAAATGAGGATTCTCAGTTCTCAAAAGCATGGATATTCACGAGATTCGCTATCGTTAGCCGTCAGAGCAGACGTCCGAGAATCTACGGGGCAAACTCCGACGTGGCCCTGCTGAGGAGCTGAACCTGCAAGAGGGCGATGGCTACGCTGACCCAGAAGAGGAAGAAGAGATGCCAGAAGATGCTCTCTAGACGTACGGGTTCTCCTACACCTCCCTCTGCTACCCCCGGCCAGGGTTCTTTAGGGGGGCAAATTAAGGGTGAGTTTGCTTTGGGGGGGGCGGGTGGTATGCAGGGAGTGGTTAGGTGGCCCTTTCGAGATTCGGGCTCCTGCATTAGGATTGAGAGATCAGAGTTATAGAGCCTCGTGCTGAAAGCTTCTGTATTGTTCAGACTTTAGGCTCACCCCTTGACTTTCAAGCATGCTTAAGGCCCCTCACCCCTTTGACATACCCTTCCTAAAAACGTAGTGCCTCGTATAATGGAAGCAGAACTGCCCCCTCAAGCAACATGCGTTGCCAGGTCATGTCATGCGTAGGCTTGATCCACAAGATTCCCAACACGGGAGGCAGGAGGCGGCCACTTTGAGATCAGCTGCGAGAAAAAACTGCGGTGGAATGATGTGATCGAGCTTCTGGTCTGACGTAGGATGCATGGGTTGATGTTTTGCTTAGTTGCATCGCCGCGCCCTTGCAGAGCGCACCACTCTTGGTTGGGAGCGCACCACTTCTGGTTGAAATTGATACTCAGATGTTGCCGAAAGCAACCAAACCTTGATATGTAACTCTGTGATCGGTTGTTTGTAGTGCTACGGGCAATGAAGCATACCGCACAATTTTCGTTTGTGCATAGGAGGCAGCTGAAACAGCTGCTCTGGCTGCAGAGAAGGTGCCGAACTCAGGTCTTTGCTGTTTCAGGTGTCACTTCTGGGTGAAACCATGGAATCTCCACTCATGTCTCTGCATCATTCGTCCAACTTGGCATGCCCGATGGCACACGAGGCCAACGACTCCGCTTTGCTTGTGCACATCCGCTCTGCGAAGAGGACTCGCTGTGAATTTGTGTGCTGTTTTGTGCTGGATGATAGCTGAAGACAAGTTGACACGGCAACCATCAAAGATCCCTTGCCAGGATAGCTCCCATTCTCCTATTTGCCGACGTCAACGGAAAGGTCTCATGGCTACTGCTATGTCCATGTAAGCAGCCCATGTCGCATCGCAAGGGCTTGAAACAAAAAGGCTAGTTTTGCAGATGCCTGCCTCGAAGGGCCCACGGAACAAATGCAGAAGGCTGAATGGTCTGAAAGCCAGGTCAGCTATGTCAATTAAAGATATGTTATGGTTCCTACGATTCAAAGAGCCTTCACGTTGCTAAGAGACCCACAGCCACGCACCATACAACACCAAGGTGCCAGCTGCTGCCGAGACCTGAGACCCAATTCCACGACAATGCCAAATGGTAAACTCCCCAAATAGGGGGAGGCCCCAAAAAAGACCCCAATATACGATAATCCTCATTGTAGGGACCCCGAAAGGGTACCCCTAATTCAGGGCAACCCCCGAATCTATTCGGCTGTTTCTCATTAGGTTGGATCAGGGTGCACGCGCTGCATCAGATGGCTGACGCACTGCAACGAAGGGGGCTGCGGTCAATGCTGCGCCTGATGGAGGGCGATGATGATGATGCTGATGACAACGACGGTGATAATGAAGATGATAATAATAATGATGATGATGATGATGGTCCTGGTCACGCTCATGGTCATGGTGATGATGATGATGATAATGTTGAGGAAGAAGATGTGATATCCCAACAAACTGTCTGCCAATCCAAAAGCCCATGGACCCAAAGAACGAGGCAGCGATCGCAGCCTTTGCGCTGCGCGAGGCGGCTGCCAAGATCTGGCCCCAGTGCTCCTGTTGCCGTGCTGCAGCCTTGATTATGCTTGAACCGTGAGAGAAGACCTGAAGGCGTTAGGGTTGGGCACGAAAGAGCGAGTCCCGCATCTGCAAGTGTTCGTTGGTCCCCTGAATTCAATGAGTTCCATTATATGTAAGCTGCTTGAGGGAAGTTTTCCGGCAGCTGGCGGCGCTTGGGTTCGAAACCTCGTGAACAGTACCAAGCCAACAGCATCTTTATCATCTTGGGATATTGGATGACAGTGATAGCGACTGAGGAGTTTTAGCGTGAGAAACGCCGGCTTTAAACAAGGAACCCTCCTGGCAAAATCCCCCTCTAAAAAAGCGGATGATGGCATGGGCGCATCGCAAGTCATGTCGACATGCTCACGGGGCAGCGCCATGCAGCTCAAAAAAGTTCTGTCATTTGCCGAGGTGGCAGCCAGCCCTTCCACACACATTATGCCCAAGTCAATCGCCCGAGACGAGTCCTAGGGCACCCCATGGTCCAAGGGCACCCACAATGATTCCAAAAGGGGTATAATCTTCAGAAATACCACTTAGCTTCAACGATACCAGTGTTCCTGCTGAATCCCTCTGTCACCTTAACATCCCGTAGTCACATTACCACTATGCTCACGGGATCTCCATGCTCGGAACCCTACCCCCCACATCTGCCAGAGCGTCTTCAGAGCTGCGTGGTGCATCTGCCTCGGCTGCGCGAAGAGCTGCTACCGGCGGCTGGGTTCTTGGCTTTCTGGGCTCTGAAAACCATAGAAGCGGGCGTTAGTTCCAGAGGCTTCACGGGTTTGAGGGGGCTTGCGGTTTGGAAGTCCAGTGTGTAAGGCTTATAAAGCAAGTGGCTGATTTGACGACGCCCCCAGCAGAGGCATGGCATGGCCGCAAACGGGTGTATGCGGCTGTCCTAGCCATGTCCAAAGATTTGGGGTGATCAGGGTTTCGGGTGGTTAGATTAGAGGCTCTTTATCCGATTTGCCAGAAGATCTTTGATCGATGTGGGTAGTCTATATGATCACCCGTCGGAAGCCAGGGGTGTCTTTTGCTATCATTGCTGCTGCTGCAATTCCTGCCGCAGTTTCATGTGTAATCTGTCCCTAGCACCATGATACTCAATGGAGAGCAGAGCAACCACAAGGAACCTTCAGACAGTTTGTGGCTTTGCAGAATGCAGGGCGAAGTGAATCCGGGATTTAATCAGTCACCAAACTCCTTCGCAGTGTCTTTCTTGTCTGAGGTCAGACAATTGCATGCCCAACTCGTTCATTGCTTCACTACCACACGGAATACGCAAGTTCTAGAGCAAGAAGGCTGCATGCTGAGCAGCGTGAAAGCCAAGCCCCTATACAAAGGAGCCTCTCACAATTCTGAGGGGGGGCTCAAAGGCACAATATGCATTCAGACTCCACATCCACAGAAAAGTGCGAAAAGGCCGTGCCTGCATTGACCTGCCGCTTGCAACTCTGGGCCGGCTTCGAGCGTTTACGGAGTGATGAGGTGGGAATGGTTCAACATGCAGGGGGGTAATCATAATCTGGCGGTTACATAGGGGTTATAGTAAAGGGTTTTTCATGGGGATTATGTAGAGGTTACCCAATAGGGATTCTGGTGATGCGTTACACGGGAATGATTGGGCCCGTACCAGGGTTGCTAGGGATTACATCTTTCTGAGCAACACCCAGGTACATGAGGACTGTGGCCACAACATGGGGAGCATTCAGGAATACTTCGAGATTTGAATCCGGCTCCAGGCCCCCGAAACTTATTGGTGCTAAAGGGGGAGAAGGGGAGTGAATATAGGGCTTATTATAGGGTAGGGATTACATAGGGAATATTACAAGGAAGGATACACTCCCCCAATTTCTCATAAGCATTAGTTCCTATAGCGATATCAGCTATTTTGAGTTAAGTGGGCCTGCTTGCCTTGGCTTGCGTTTTTCGATTTCGGATGACATCAACGTGTTCAACGTGGCCCAGAAACAGGTCGCAACATGCTCCCGATTCCTTATCTAAAGATTTATGAGCAGAACGCTTTGTCTTTTCAACTGCCCCTATGTAGCTGGACTGCTGGGGCCAGGACCTCAGAGACTACCGCGATCCGCTGCGCGGCCGCGTCGACCTTGTGGCCAAGGCGGCTTAAGATCTTTTCAGATAAAAAGTCCTGGAGTGAAATGGTAGTTCCCTCAATAGGGGTAACCCCCAAGACTACTACCCTCACTATGGGGACCCCAAAAAGATATTCCCATTTTTGGAAGCCCCCAAATAGTAACGATGCAGCATCAAGAGCAACAGCGGCAACTACAATCAGAAGAAGAATGCTAGCAATGAGAATTGTGGAACTACCAGTGCTGATGGCATCTCAGGATTCTAGATGAGGTTCAGACTCGTGGTTCCCCGCGGTACAAGGGTGGTGGGTCTGTGTTACATAAGTGGATCCCGGACCAACAGATGATCTCTTCATGCTTCTTCATGCTTACGTGAGCCTATAATTTCCAATGCCTGGGATTTCGGCTAGCGGCCTAACTGCACTTGCCACGGCACAGATTTGAAATTGAAAACTGCGGCGTGGGGCTTCAGGGAATCTTGGGCCTCGTGCCCTCGGGATGACTAAGGTCATTGCTCTATAGGTCAAATTCAGGTAGGGACCACCGCCGCCACCACCACCACCACCACCAACACCACCAAAACCACCAACACCACCACGACCAACACCACCAACACCACCACGACCAACACCACCAACACCACCAACACCAACACCACCAATACCACCAAGACCACCACCTCCACCTCCACCTCCACCTCCACCTCCACCTCCACCTCCACCTCCACCACCAACAACACCACTACCAACAACAAAAGCAACAACAACAGCAACAGCAACTCAGTAACGACACGAACAATAACAAGAACAGCAACATCATGATCATCATCATCATCATCATCATCATCGTCAAGATCATCATCAAGATCAAGCTGGCATCTCCATCATTTTGCGTCATGCTGTTCGTAAACGAGCAGCCTGGCAACAACAAGCACCAGTAGCACAGGGCTACGACTGCACCATCTCTGCGGAACTTTGAACGTCAACTTACTGCAGCAAATCGTGAGAATGGACAGAAAACCATGACCAGCCCGCCTTTGACGCACAGGTGGACCCCAAGAGCCCAGAATGCCAAGGGACTGAGTGCCCGGCCTTAGTATCGCGAATGGCAAATGTGTGGGTTTGCGCTCATACTAAGGTTGATACATTTTTCGAATGGATTGGGGCCCCTTTTTCGGGGCATATGCGCAATTACTGAGAAACTAGGAGGTGTTTTCGGTTGGCTGGATTATGGAGGCTTTTGTCGTGCTTCAGACGCCACCCCCATAATTCTCATCAGAGCCGCTATACGGGCCCACATTGCGGAGAAGCCCCAACGAGTCTGCATGAGCTTCTTAGACCAGCTTTGTATGTTGCATTCCGGAATTTGGGCAGTGGGCAAGCAGCTATGAAGTAAGCAGCTCCAACAAGCAGCTGCAGCAAGCAGCCGCGTGCAACAGCTTACGCTTGAACAGGATAACGTTCTTGATGATTTGGACAAGTGCTTGGTGCCATTTTTTAGAGGCTTGGCGATTTTCGCGCGGTGGGGAGATTGAGAAGGGTCTCGGGACTGACCGCAAAACCTGCAAAAAACTCATAAGCAATGCGACGCTTCTTCAGGGAAGGATTTGTCAGCAGCTTTCAGATGCTAGTTTGGCCAGGTTTTTCAGCACCGAGCGAGTCCCGAAGTTTTTCCTGTTGCTCCAACCATGGGACAATGTCTTTAAACTAACTAGATAGCTCAAGAACTCTAGGTTGCAATTGGTTAAATAAAACTGGAGATCTTCTATAGCATGTACATCATGCAGCATGGAGCCGCTGGCCTGCGTAAAGCGTTTTCCCGTTGCCCCAGTTTTACTCGGCTCGAGAATCTGTGGAAGTCTTAAACGCCCACTCGAGCGAAGAAACAGCCGAGAATGAAGTTCACTCTGGCAACCCGGCCGCAATGCCAGTCAGGAGGGATTCCCAAGAAGACTGGGAAGCGACAGCTTATGTTACAAAACCAAACATGATCCTCATCTCATTTTCATAGCAGCCTCTTCTGGTGGTGATCAGGGCTTCTTGGGTTGAAAGGCGTGTGTTGAGCTTAGCACGAATCCTTTGTAGGAAGGGCCACAACCATGGTATGCTTGCTTATTGCTGCCTTGTTGTCTAGGGTGTTGTATCCTCCACTTCAAAGCTCGGGCATCGTGATTTCCGATTGGTCTGCTCTTACAGAATGATCACACTCAATGTACAGACGTGTAGTTGTGGTTGTTGGTTACGGTGTACCTTTTCCTGTCACCATTCGTTCAGCGCTGCAACCTGGAGTACTATTTTTGCAATGTTGATTTACAACACGTTTGTTGTCACGAACGAATGCTGTTGCTGCCGACATATGTCAGTTCTGTACATGCGAACGGCGACCGCCCATGTCTTTAAGCTAGGAGTGTTGCTATTAATTACGAAGGCGCTGCTACCAAACACGCTGTCACTACAATCACCGTCATCGATTGAGAGCTGTATGCGATTTGCCTGGGTCTGGTCTACCGCGAACTCAGTCGCATCCAGCAGGGTCTCAATTGTTGATTCTGGTGTTGTTTCTTGCCCCCTACTCCCGCTACTACTGCTATTGCTACAACTTGAATCGCTGACGTTTTTGGTCCCATACTCGGCCACCACCGCCACCGCCATCACTACCACTACGCTGCCTGACCTTATGTACGAAGGCAACCCAGCCCTGGGATTTTGGTGAGTTACCCTAGTGCTGTCTCCCCTGGTGTAGGCCCTATAGATCTATGCATGTGGAGACCTACTGCATGCCACAGGTTCTCCTGTCCCTGGTGGCCCTGGTTGACGCCAGCCGCCTCAAAAGGCCGAGACTTTAGCCAAGTTGTGCTTTCTAGTGATGCGGAACGGGCGGTGCATGGTGCATAGATCTATCTCCAAGGAGTTGCCTGCACTGGAGTTCCGAGTAGGAATAAACCTGCCGCGTCAGCTCAGATTTGCATTTAGAAGCAGTATCTCAAGATGGCACATCGCCACGCAAGATCACGCAAGGAGACTCATCACGGGTAGTTCATGCGGCAAGTGGGCAAAGTGCGCATTTGACCATGACACCCGGGGTTGAGGTCAAGCGCATTGCGTGTGAAGCCTGCTGGACAAACGCTTGAGGACTTGGCTGATGCTTGGCTGCATGGTCTCTCCAGCTGCCGACCCCCTGGCATGATAGCTCCCTCCCTCTCCCATGCAGTATGCAGGAATTGTCAGTCTCCAGGCATTCTTAATTTAGTAACAGCCATGGCAGAGCTTGTGCAGTTGTCTGCCGACGAGCCTGCCGACAAGAAGAAGGACGACGCCGTGAAGGAATCGGCGGATGCCACTGCGGCCCATCTTCATTGCTCATGCTGCGGGTGTTGTGTCTGGTCTGCGTCCTGCAGCAATCCAACAATGTTCCTTCATGAGTGGAAGCTATGCATGCAAACTCGCTGTGGCTGGCGCAGTCCTGGGTTCGCTGCAGCAAAAGCAGTAGGCGCAGACACCCCAAAGCCACGAATGGAAGCATCTTCCGCGGGGAAACCGGCACGAGAGAGTGGAATTCCGACTTTCACATAAGCTGCTCATATTCGCCTAGGTGAAGACCGAGGCGCCGCCGGAAAAAAAGGAGAAGGATGCCAAGCCTTCTCCAGCCACCGAGAAAGCACCTGAAAAGACGGAGAAGCCAGCGCCTAAGGAAGACGAGGCAGCCACGAAGGAGCCTGAGAAGAAAGAGAAGGAGCCTGAGAAGCCAGTGAAGGAGGCACCCAAGGAAGAGAAGGCAGCCCCAAAGGAGCCTGAGAAGAAGGAGGCGCCCAAGGAAGAGAAAGCAGCCCCAAAGGTGGACAAGGAGACGGCAGAAGTGAAGAAGGAGAAGCACAGTTCTAATGTTGTATGGAGAAGTGCTCATGAAGATCGGAATGGATCTAGGGGCTTGGAAGTTGAGCGCGGTCCTCCATCAACCGTTGTATTCCTTGACCGCACTTGACTTAGTTGGGCAACAGCAATACTGTAGCAACAACAACCACCACTTACACTCTCCCATTCTCTCCCCATTCCGCCACACGCAGATGTCAGGCTTTTAACTGTGATGGCCGTGTTCTGCTACTGTTGCCCGCTTGATACTTCCTCTGTCCTGCTTGACGATTCACTGTGGTAGCTTTGCCCGTGAAATCTTACATCCTCCATTGTAATAGTTCTGAGGAGACCCCCAAGGCAGAGAAGGCCACCGCCGAGCAGAAGAACGCGACCAGCGGCTCAGTTTGCAGCAGCAAAGGGCTGTGTGCAGCGAATTTGAGATGATATACCCTGGCGAAAGCAAATTTAGTCTGAATTGGTCACTATTCCGAGCGACGACACATGTCCCGCTTGCCCAAATTGATGCAAGTGAGCAGTGTTGCTGTTTTTTCTCCGCCAGTCTTTTGTTCATTTTCTGGCAACACAAAGCTTGAGAACAATCTCAAAAACATGTGCGGGAGTGGCCGCGGAAGGACGCGGCTCGTGGAAGCGGATGGCTTCCCGGAAGGGTCATGGAAGGTGCCACGACAGTGCCATGAGTACCAGCTACTTCTCGGAAGCGGAAAGGTTCGCGGAGGTAAAACATCGCACGATGTCAAAAACTTGAGGACTCTTTGGGGCGGGGGAAGGACGCGGAATTAGTTTTCATGGGAAATAATGTAACCCCAACATCACCCCCACATATACTCGATTATCATCCCCATATAATCCCCATTGTAACCCCTATATAACCCCTAAACCCATTTTAACCCCCAAAATATGTAGAATAAAAACCACAGTTTCAAGTGGGTTTAAATCTGTCGGCGGGATCTCAAATCTTGCCCTTTGCGTGATCCATGCTTTATCAGCAACGATGACATTTGGTAGTTTGCACCGTTTGCACATGTACTTTAGTCTAAACTCCTTAATTACAGGGGGTTCTTTGGGGGATTACATACGGAACTAGTATAGGGGATATATACTAGGAGAGATTATGGCTCATAACAGGGGACCCCCCAAAAAAAAACAGAGGGACCCTAAAAGAGGCATCCCTAGTTTTTGGCCAGCCCCGTTTAGCCCTGGTTTTCTCTCCGGCCACGCTTCCTTCAGGGAACAATTCTTGACCATCAGACAGACTTCCCTTGCTCTCCCACACTTGTCACCGCCGCCGCAGCAGCAGCAAGAGCACTCCACGATTAGGCACATTTTTTTTGCCAACCTGCCAAGAGCATAGCGCAACCTTGCATCGAATTACCTGAGGCAAAGAGGTTACGACGACCGAGGCGCCAGCTACCACAAGCGTGGCCCTCAGATCAAATTCCACAATCAGAAACCTCCCTTGGTGCATCACCGGCGCATCGGATGATAGATTCTTAGCCTACTGTGCCGGGCTGATGAACGAGAACTTGGATGACTAAGAAGCTCACTGTCAGGTATTCTTCAAGCGGCACTAGCAGTTGCGGTCCTAGAATCACTAATTCAATGCAAATCTGGCTTTCCAGTTAGAAAGAAGAAGTGGGTGCATTCATGGCGGCTCTAAGCTGAAAAGCTGCCACAGGCACCACGCTGTCGGTCTTTGACGCACCGAATGTCAAGAAGGCAAATCGTATGACCCAGAGCAAGCTTGACATGGTAGTCTCCATAAATAGGGGGGCCCCATTACAGATTCCAAAATACTGCAATCCTCATTCTGGGGACGCCCATACATGGACCCCTAACTTGTGGGAAACCCCCCCCACATTTCACACTGCAGTTGAGCTCGGAATGCTTAGCGATCGAAGCTCAAGTTAAGTTGCGGGTTGGTGTTGGGTTGCCATTGGTGGATATGAAAGAGGGATTGTGCGAGCACTGTTTTGCAACAATAGCTTCGCATGGCCTATGGCGAATCTGAATGTGCTCACGCCTTGTAAACATAAAACACGTCCCCAGCCCAACCTTAGCACATTTGAGGTCTCTCAGCATTCCCTTTGGCAATGAGCCTTGCAGTCCAGCCATCTCGCTGTTTTGAGCACAAGGGGCAAAAGCTTGAGCAGCGAGAACTTGCGACAGGCCAGCACCACCTTGGATCCGGTGTCGAATGTTCGGGCCCTGGGGCCTGCAGCATGTAGGCCGTGTAGGCTTTGGAGCTGTTGTGACAATGCAGCCCGGACATGTCACATTGCCAGATGGGCACGCTTATGCATGTGCGAGCCCAACATAATCAAGACTTGAGAGAAGGGATCAGCAGAAGGTTATTACAGCCAGCCAGGAGACCCTCAGCAACTACATGCGGGACTGCGCGAGGCAGCTGAAAGCCATCGTCAAGAAGGCTGCCTCTTCTCCCGGGCATTTCTTGGAAATGGGTTGGGCTGCTGGTTGGTGGAGAGGGCATGCAGTTGTAAAATTGGCTGCTGGCTGTACGCGCAGGACAGTTTTCTAGCGCCATTGTTGCAACTGCTGTTGCGGCCACAGGCTGCAGCTTGTAACTTGTAACTTGTAACAGTTATTGCTGTTCATAGTTGGACATGGTGTGGCTATGTATAGGCTACAGAGCTGGATTTTTTTTCACGTTCGGGGGTTGCAGCTTGTGATGATTCGGGAACAGCCGTCAGGATAGGCTGTGAAAGCTTGAGGACAAGATGTGACTTTGACGGCTCGGCTGACTTTCTAGCGACAAAAGTTCCCAACTGCCTACGGAGCAGTGGTCCTCGCTGCTGCAGGCAGAGGCCCACTACACACACGAGCAGCTGGTGATCGCACTTCGCCAGGAGTGTTCTTGGGCTGCACGTCATTAGAGAAGCTATGGGCTAGGTTACAAGGGCCGTGGGTCCTATATTAGGTTTTCACTGCGACCTGCTTGACACGAGAGCTGGAGCTCGCTAATGTGAAATGCTAGAAATTGAGCACCATGAGGTGACCTGGACAAGGAGTTCCCCACTGTGCGCAATGTTTTCTTCGACCACCGTCGGGACGCTGGGCATGCTCTGTTGAAATCATGATGTAGCCCGCATAAACAAAAGCCTACCACCTCCTTGAAGCTTCAGACGTCTGTCTGGCTTTTAGTTGTCAGCTGCCGGGGAAAGATCCCTGCTGAGGCCGATCAGTTAGTGCACGGAAGCAATCTGTTGAGAATCTCCCAGGCAAATCATTGTCCTTTCGAGTGGAAGCCGATGAATCGGGCCAGTGAGCCGGCTGAAACATTTGTGCATTAACAAAACCCAAATACGAAGTACACTGGCCTGAACCTTCCATTGTCTCTGGCAGGACTGCCGCGAGTTTGCGGAGAAACTCGGTGCTGCGCGCGAGGCGGAGCTGAAGGGTGACGCAAACGCCTATGCAGAGCACCTCGGCTGCGACGAGACACTGATTGAGCCTTTAAAAACACCTACGCGTATAATGGTTTGCAAAGCGGACAGTGGAGTTTGTTCATTTTGCTGGAATCTTGCCCATGCTCCCGGCCCCACCCGCCGAATTTCCAGTTTCGAAGAAGACCTGTCTCAGAATCATCAATTACCTGCTCTCGTACAATACAGTAGAGGGCCTTGCAGTCCTGCACAGGCATTCTTCCTTCACGCAGCAAAATGCTCATCGGATGTCTTTGTTTTGCGGTTGTCTGTGTGTTGCATGAAGTAAGACGTGCGGTCTCAACATAAATGAACAGGGATCTAGGTCACAGTGGGTTCGGGCACCGGTCAATGTGAAACATTCGGCCGCAGCCACCCTCATCCAACCAAAAGGCGCAGTATAGCCTTCCACAACCTGGAAAAGCTGTGGGTACAGCAATGTCCTTGCACCCCCCACTGAGGTCTAGGTTGTTTGTGCGGTCCCAAGAGGGTAGGCTCTTAGTAGGGTACCCCACATGTCCCGTTAGGTCTTCATCTTGGATTTATGCATCTTGGGCAGGCGGTAGTAGGAAGGAAGCTCAAATCGCAACCATCCTGAGGTGAGTGTCTAACATGGTTCCTTTTTGTATGGTGCGTTTGGTTCGAAGCATGGTTTGACAAACCAAATTGACCCGCGCGCGTAGGCTAGCAAGAGGAACACACTATGGGCGCAGCCATTGTCACCGGCTAGCCACTGTGATCTTCCGAACAAGACTGAAAAGGCATCATGACCTCGGCCTCGAAGTCATAGTCGGGCTTTCATGAAGCACGGCCGAAGTCGGGGTGATTTTGCTTCACCCTGGCTGTTGATTGATTTGGCTGCTTGGTCCAACCCTTAAGGTCCCCCATGCAGTAGCATGTTGTTTCAGCGGGCTTACAGCAGCACATTACACTACCTGCTGAACATGCTATTATCGCTGCTACCTCGGGCTTCGCCACGTAAGTACCTGAGAAAATGCGGCCTATTCCCCATAATCACTTCCAATCTGCACCCTGACAGGTGCTGCCAGGCAGCCTGGGAGGAGAAGTCCCAGGCACCTGTAATTCCTATCCGCGGTGTCTCCAATCTGACAATCCCATCCCTGTAATGGCCGGAGATGAAGACAAATTTAGGCCTTGAGTAGGCAAGCTCTTGCATCTGCACCAGGGCCACCCTGAATTAAACCGCAAACTGGATCCCAATGATTCCGTATCTCTTACCAGTATTGGCAAGTATGTCATATCCGTGCCAAGCTCGCATCTGTTAGAGACTGGCAACTACAAGGGCAGTACATGAAGATCAGCGCGCTACAACACATGCCCTGCAAATGAGGACATCACGCTTGCCCCAAGATGGGAAAGGAAGCTTTTTCGATCAACCATTCTTTGGATGTGTTAGTTATCTTATGGGTACCAGTGTCAATGTCATCAGTCTTCACATTTCGAGCAGGATGATCCGTATTCATGAGAAACAGTGTGCAGCAACAGGCCATTTCAATGTCTTCTCTTCGGCATTGAATTGAGGGTGGGCTTTCTTGTCAGCAGCAGGCGTTCAAAATCCTGGCAAAGCCCTTTGTCAAGACACATGTCACCCCTATCAAGTCCCATACCCCGTAGAAATCATGCAGAATGCGTCTGAGAGCATTCATCCACGCAGCGGCCAACAGAAATCTCGTCAACCATACATCATCCATCTAGACATCCCTTGAAAAGCCATACATCATTCTCGCTATTTATAGAAGCCTTCAAAATCACAATAGAGCCGAGGACCCGCTGAAATTTCCCGTGGACTGTCTATGCATTGATACGTCCTCTGTACAAACATCGTTTTGAATCCTATAGTTGTACAACATGGTTTTGAATCCTGTCGTTGGAAACTTGGGTCAGGCCATGGGTATCCCTTTGGTCTCTGCTCTTGTGGCCCTGGTCGTGGCCCACCTGCCGGGGTCCCCGACATCTAGTGGGGCTTCATGGGCTCTCCGAATGCAGGGATCCTTTGAAGATGATTGTAGCATATTGTAGCATTTGGGGGGAGTCTTTCTTGGGGTCCCCTATTCCTGGAAACTCGACAAGAGGACTGGGTTTTCAAGATGAATAACATCTGAATATCTCGTTTTGCGACCTTCATCTTGAGAAGTACCCACATGCTCAGGCTTGACAGGTTTGGAGGGTCTCTATATCTTATAGATCAGAGAAAATCGGTGTATCGAGATTTTTGCGAGTCGTACAGACAATGCAAGCCAGAGAGTGATCTAAACTTGATTTGGAGTCTTTGGCTCTCTGCCGTCTATGGATACCGATGCTCTGAATTGTAACTTGAGCATAGGACGCCACTGAAGACATTTGCAGGTAGAACCCTAAGGGTCCAAGGACCCAAATAATAGGGTTTTAGGGCCCAAACACCGCTAATATTGTAGTATGTGGGCTCTGAAACCATTATTTGGGTCCTTGGACCCTCAGGGGAACAGATGGATAGGTCCCTATCTTTTCAAGTTCCTTGAGCTTCGCAAATGTATGCAAGTTGGGCTAGGAGCTGCTCCAGAGATCACCCAGAGGGTCCAAGTACCCGATAATCAAGCCCCTTTAAGAGGGATATATAGAGGTATATAGAAATATATGGTTTAGGGTTTAGGGTTGCATGTGCCCAATAGTTAGGTACTTTGGTTTTGGGTGATCGTAATTATGGTATAGGTTTTGGGTAAGGATATGATTATCAGGTACTTGGACCCACAGGGTCAGAGTATAGGCGCTTCCAAAGCATGAGATTAAAATGGGATGATTGGGATCGTTTGTATCCTCGACATAAGGAGGCGCGCAGGGGAATCAAATGAATCACCAGTGTAGCGCTAGGAAACCACCTGGGCCAACGCTACAGTTTTCTGTTGGAGCATCTCCATTGATCATATCTTGAAGGGGATGGACGAGTTTCGGGAATTGCTGTAGCGCCGTCTATGCTTAGAAGGGATGGGCACAACCCGCTCCGTGGTAGAAGCTGTCTCCAAATTCAGCAACTACAATGGGACCACGCAACCATATGCCGATTTCAAACTGCCGACAGGAGGCGACACGCAGGGGAA